CCTCGCTGAATCAGGCCTATTCATTTGCATACTTGGATTTCAACTATGAGGCCACCACCATTGGAAAGCTTACTTCCGGGGCTTCATTTTGTACTCAAGAATCTCCTAAAGCCAAGTCCGGACGGGGGAGATATGGTTGATTAAAGTAGGGCATCACTCCGGTTGAACCGAATCTGCGCAGTTTCACCAAAACAGGCATAACTTTTTGCACAGGAGGAATTTTGATGCAAGGCTGGTGCCATTGGAAAGCTAACTTCTGGGGCTTCAATTTGGACACCTGGCCAACCACTTTTGGACTTTCCAATCACTGGCCGACCACCTTTCTTTCCGGCAGACCAATTTTTTGTCCTGAAAAACCAGAAAAAGTAGCAGGCCGACCAGAAAAGGTGGTCGGCCGACCACCTGAACCTTTTGACCTGGTCGGCCGACCAGGGAAAGTGGTCGGCCGACCACCTAAACTGGTCGGCCAGCTTTCTCCTTTTTTGTCTCAATGAGTTGAAGCCAGCTGTACCAGCTGGAAGTCTCAGAATGCATCCTCCATACACGTGTATGGAGGATGTTTAAGCTAACTTTTAAGCTTCTTGTTGCACTACACCTCCAAGCACAACACCTCCACTACCATCCTAAGTACCTTGGAGTTGTTTTCAGAGGTTGAGGGCTCACTTTCTTGGTCTAGAGCTTGCTGCATTGCTGTGCTACAAGGATAAGTCACCATTTCCCTCTTTGTAGCTTTATTTTGCTTCATTCTTTAGCCTTATTTGCAAGCATTTTTGAGTTTTGTCATAAACTGATTTTTTTTTTTGTTTTGAGCTTATAAACATGTTTGTTTAAGGTCATTTTTCTGTTTGGGGTCATCTACCCCCTTGCATGCTTCATTTCCTCTTGTTTTGAGCTATGCATTAGAACATTTGTGTTGGCCTTGGTTTGGCCTTTTAGCCGCTGAAATCCAACAGATTTTCAGTGGCTAACATGTGTTTTTAAGCCTTAAAATCAGAGAGGGGTGACCCTCTCACCCCTTGTTTTGTTTACTAGCTTTCTTGGCCTTAAAAAGGAGCCCCCATTTGCATGTTTTGAAGTCACATTTCAGGCCCTATTTGTTGAGATTTAAGGTCTGCCTTGACTCTGTCCAGAGCCCTTTTGATCATATTTTGTGTCCCTCATGCATGTGTAGAGCAATCCTCCTCAAGGCCTTTCAAAAGGACCTTTCATTGCATGCTTCATTGACCCATTTCAGGCCCTTTTCAGTGAGTTTTAGGACCCTCATAACCTCTGTCCAGAGGCCATTTTGCCACTTTGTATGTCCATCATGTATGTGTAGAGTAATCTACCTCATGGCCTTCCAAAGGAACACTTCATTCTTGCATGCATTGACTGAGTTTCAGTGATTTTTTTTGGCATATTTTGGCATGGAATACTTCTGTTTTTGGCTGGTTTGGTGAGCTCTCATATGCTTCATATAGTTGTAGTACAACTCATGGTTCACTAGCTTTCTTTGCATGCTTTGTTGACCCTTGATTTTAACACTTTTTGGCCATGCCTTAAACTGATGTTGTGCACATTTTGGACTGCCTTAGCTCTGTTTTTGGGTCTCATGATCGAATGATGTTTGTTTTGCATGCTTGTAGTTCAATACCCATGCTTAACCTTGAGTTTTGAGGCTCATTCCATGCATATACTGAGGTGTGTTCATGTTTTGGGTCCATTATGCATCATATTTCAGAGCTTGTATGAATGCCATATTGCCATGTTTTCTACTCCTTAAGTATGCTTGAGAGTTGTCCATGAATGTCTTGTTTTCGGACTATTGAATGAGCTCCATTTCTTCGCATTCCGAGCCATCATTTTAGGCCATTTCCCCACTGTTTCAGACCTGCCTAGGGTCTGTTTGGGGTTGGTTTTGCCATTAGTGCATTGCTTTGGGTACCTCTAGTGTAACGCACATCACTAGTTTCGGTACCCGGGCCCCCTAGCATGCATTGTGTGACATATTTGCATGTTTCGGGACCATCTTTTGTGCTATTTCAGAGCTGTATCATATGTCATTCTATGCCATACTTCATCCTCTGCCATGCTTAGTTAGAGTTGCATGTTATGCCTTAAGATCGGTCCTTTGCATCCGTGCATGTTTACATGTGTTTCGGTTGTCTCATTTCCATCATATGGCCACTGATTTGAGTGTGGCTGAGGTCCACTCATATTGGTGTAAGTCCATCTTACATTGAGCATGCCATTTAGTTCATGATTGTTGCATGTTTGGCCATTGCATTGTGTATGCTTTGATCATATCATTAATAGTCTTCATGTGCGCATGATAGCCTTCGTATGTGCATTGTGTATGCCATTGTAGTTCATAGCATTGCGTATGCTAGGTTGCATGTTAGTCGCATTGTGTATGCCATGCATATTGCATTGTGTTTGGAGTAGGATTTAGTCTAAATACGGGAAACGAGGGACGTTTCGTACTCAAAGTGACGAAACGTGTCTCAATTCCCGATTGCCGACACTCCGGATTATCCATGATGGAGTCTAGGCTTTGTTGTGTTTTCATGTGCATTCATATCACATCATTTCGACTCCTCGGCCATCATGCATCGAGATGCGTGATTGGTGGCACGAGGATCGAGGTCGTGCATACATATGTGAAAATGCTTTGCCATGCCCTTTTCTTGCTCTCTGTTGCAGTAAATCAGAAATCAGCAACTTTCTAAAGCCTTGCACAGCATTCCGGGATTAATTGCAAACAGAGGCAAATCGGGGCATCGCAATGGATTTCTGCGCAAGGCAACTCGAGCATGCATCTTTCATCATTCGAAACAGAGCTGAGGCGGTTCATGAATTTGCATGCTAGTTTATTTATTTTCCTAGTTAATTTGTTAATTAATTAGGATTTTGTAATATTTAATCATTCATTCGGACTATAATTATGTATTCGGACTGTATTATTCATTCGGACCCTCCAAGCGAGGGTAATATTGTAATAAGTGTGCGTGAGTGTGATGTATGTCTTCCAACCCCACGTCTTTCTCCCTTTTATTTACCAGCTTATGATAGTTAGATTAGGGCATGTTTCAATTAGCATACTTATGCTTGCATGTTTGCATCCATTCATCTGTCTTGCATGCACCGGGCTCGGCGCATCATACTAACTGCATTGTATTTCAATTTCGAGTTGAATACGTTTTAGTTGTAACATTTCACATGCCATTGTAGAATAGCCGAGCCTATTTTAGTACCATTTTGCATGTGTTGCATTAGGCACTGCATAGTTAGGATTCATGCATGATTTCTAATCAGCTTCTGTTTTGACTTGGAGTACTCGGTAAGTTTTATGCTTTAGCATCCTTGCATGTGTGTGAGTGACTGCCATGATAGCATGCTTACCATGAGGCTATTTGCTTATGTGATATACCTGCCTGAGTGGCTGTGGGTGAAGGTTGGGTTATCTGAATTGGAATAATGTATTGACTATGAGTTTTAAGCCCACTAGCTAGTGGCAAAACCATCTTTTCTAAGCCCACCCGAGGGTAGCAAAATCTACATTTTTAGCCTACTTGCGAGTAGCAAACCGCTTTTAAAAATAAACATGAAATGTTTTGTTCCAATTCAGGCGATCCAGTTTACACTTGTATGCTGTGCGCATCACATAGTAAATCTAGGCTAATAACCAGAATAAGAACGCATAATGTTTTCAAAACTAGATATCATGGTTAGTAGAGGCCGATCTTTGATCGGGCGAGCGGGGGTGCTCACGAAGTGACCTTCCCCAATCGTACCCAAGTTCCCGAGCCAAGGCAACTTTGGTGATGACGAACACGTGGCCTTAGGCAAACGAGTCAGGATTTCTTAAATTCTCCCAAAATAAAATATTTAAGTGGCAACTCTGTATCTAGCAAAGCAGTCCATGCTTGGCATTTCTTTCAAAAAAATCTGTTTTCAAAAACGATTTGCCGGATTTGAACTCTTTGATAATTCATCGGTCTTACATTGCACTCTGCGAGATTAGATACAGGACCGTGACATTTGAGTCCTGAACTGTAGTGAGCCCATAATGAACAAAACGGGATTCCCTCCCGGGGCGTTCGGAGACGTCTACAGGCATCAAAGGATACCACCCATCTATGCACCTCCACATGTATCAAAAAAGCTCTAAAAAATCCAATAAATCATTAGTTGGATAAAACTAGATTCCCAACCATACAATAAACTTTAAAAGGTACTCGTCAGCCTATTCAAAGGTACCTCTATCCACCACAAAAAAATATCTACAACTTCACCCTCTCTGGATGAGTAAAAAATATCTACATCCAAAGCTACATTTTCTTCATCATTTAACTCACTCTAATGCCCAGCCAACTATGAAGAAGATCATCTACACAAAACGGAACACACAATCTATCCACCCCTAACAAAGAACGAAACACATTTTACATTGACTCTTCTAAATTTGTAAAGTGCCTATATGGAACACTTGACACTTGAAAAGAATAAGCTTGGGGTTTAGGACCATCAAATTTCTTCTCAATTCCCCAAACAACTACTTACATTTCCAATCATGGAAAACAAAAACAGAACAAAGTAGGGGAAAAAAATTGTCTGACAATACATTACTATTCAGATGCCCCATGCAAGTCAGAATTCGCTGATTCAACTCAAGTGATGGTTGTTTTTATAAAAATGGGTGGTAAATGTTGTTTTAGAATACATAGAAATGTAAAGAGCTACTCAAAGAAAGAAAAATCTACTTCTACTATTCCACTCGAAGCAAGAAACATTTTCAATACAATCAAAAAGCAGTGTTTCAAACAGTCTACTTGCACAAACTATTTATCTCTATATCATTTAACTAACAAAAAAGACAATAACATAACCAAAAAAAAAAAAAACCCTAAAATTCTCCACTCCAATAATGCGTCCATGAATGGCATTTAGATTATCCAATCTTCATATAAAACATTTGGAAAACTAAAAAAAAAAACGACAATTAAACCATGAATTCATACCACGAGAGTGTCGTCAGTGTAGTCCCCCATGAACTCCTTCAGTTTCTCATTCACTCTGTCTCGCAGCTTCGCCGCTCCGTCGCCCAAAAAATTTAACCGAAACGTCCGATCATCAATCTGATCCGCACCGCCCATCTTCAATCCAATCCCTTGAAACCGATTCACTAAACCCTAGTATTGTTGAACTCTTTCGAATCGCAATAAATACAGTTCGGCCTCCTAAAACGAGATTCACGCAGAAAACCCTAAAAACAAGCAAATTGAGCGAAGTTGTTTTCAAAAATAAAAACGATTTAAGACTAAATCGAGGAGGTAAGATATTGAAATATCAATTTATTGGAGATTTTCTCGGGAAAATGAAGGGAAAAGTATTGAAAGCAGGTTGTAATTTCCGGGAAAGTAATCAGTTTCATTGCGGAAGAGAAACCCCCAGAAAGTTTGTCAATTTTTCCGGGGAGAGACTCGGAGTCGGAAGAGGAGAGTTCGGAACCCTACGTCGATTTATATGCAACCGACTGGGCTAGGGAGAAGCTTGTTAAGACCCTCCAGCAGTGGATGATAATCATGTTAATATAATGAAATTATAATGACGATTTATACGTTGATTTTTTGAAATTATTTTTAATTAAATTAATATAAAAATAAATATTAAACAGATATTTTTAAATTTTAAAAAATTATTTGTGCTCTCTCAAAAATAAAATTATATTTGTGCTCTCTCAAAAATAAAATTATATAAAAATTATAAATATTGTTTATTTGTTTATGTTTTTCAACAAATTAATTTTTAGTTTGTTCAAAAAAAATTAAAATAGATTCTGACAATAAAAACAAAAAATATTTTCTTCAGTTTTGTGAGGAAATTTTAATTTCTACTATAATGCTATTATATGTATTAAAAATTCAACTCATTAAATTTATTTAAATTTTTAGTAAAACATTATAAAATTAAATGTTAATACTTTATGATGAAATGTCTTCAAATTATTCTAATATCAAAGTTAATATTTTTTATAAAAATTATTAATTTTATTGAATTTATATTAAAAATAATACATGATATAACGGTTTGGTTTGATTTTTTAAATTATTTTTTTATTTTTTGAAAAAATAGAGATTAATTTGACAAAAAAAAATTGTTTGGTTTGGTTTTTCAAAAATTGTTTTAAAGGTATTTTCATTTATTTTATTGAAATTTTTTTTTTTGCATTTTACTCCTTTTTTTTGTACTTTTTAAATGTATCTAATCTAAATATATTTGAAAAGTAAAACAAACTGACTAAAATATTAAAAAAAACTGATAATAAAAAAAATTCAAACAAAAATCTATGTGCATTTTTATTCAAATTTTTGTTTTTTTTTTAATGAATTTTTCTTATATTTTACTTTTCAGATACATCTAATTTTGATATATCTAAAAAGTTTTTAAAAAATGACTAAAATATGAAGAGAGAGAAAAAAAAGTTGAGTAATAACAAACGAAAATCCATCTAAAAATAATTTCTAAAAAATTAAACTAAACAAACATATTTTTGATTTTTTAAAAATTATTTGTATCTTCCAAAAAGATAAAATAAATAAAAATAATAAGTGCTTTTGATTTTATTTTTATTTTTATGAAACTAATTTTTAATTTTTTAGAAATAAGTTCCTAAACAAATTTCGAAAACCAAAGCAAACATACATTTTTGTGGGCAATAGACTAAATTTAAAGAAATCTATATTAAAATGTTCATTGTGCTAAAATTTGGTCTAATAAATTGTGTTGTATTAAACTTGATACAAAAATTAGCACACTGCTGAGCCTCCATTTGGGAAGTAGGTTGGTTTTTTGACTTTTTTGTTTTTTTGGTTATTTTAGTTTGGGCTAAAAAACTTAGTTTGGACAGGACTTTTTGGCTTTTTTGACTTTTTTTATGAGATAATAGTGTAATGATTATGAGTTAGATGTAATGTTTTGTTTGTTGTGACTAAAATAGCCTATTTTGTTTTTGTGGCTATTTTAGTCCCAAAACCACTTGCCAAACACCACCACTTGTGCCCATTATGTTGAATTTTAGCAATACATAGCAATTGCAAAAGTTATTCTCAAATTGACTATTTTGTGGCCGTTTGGTGTAGCTGTTAAAACAGATTATAGATTATACCTTAACAGATTATAGATTATGCCTTTAATCAGAAACTGCTAATCTGTTTGGTGTAATTGTTGGATTATAGATTTAAGTTGCTGAGTAATGTTTGTTAAATAAGCTATGAAGTAACTTTTTGCTATGTAAATGTCTCTTTTACCCTTGTTAGTTGTAAATTGAATTTATCTAGACTTTTTGCTATTAATTACATATTAAGAGATCATTCCAACACCAAATTAATATAACCCTATTATTTTTAAATAATAATACAATGAAATAAATATTACACAAAAATAAATTTATTATATTTTAATAATTAATTCCTTGAGAAATTGACATTAAAATGTCATATCTTCTTGAATCTATCTCATAATCATCATTACGAACCGGATGCCCATGTCGGTCTTCCCCTGCCACTGCTTCCTTGTCAACAGGGACATACTCAATATGTTTATCATAAGAGTCAAATGCAATATCCCTTAAATTAGTTCGTCTAATGAAGTTGTGAATCGCCATAGTAGCACAAACAAGTTGTCATTGACAAACAAAATTGTAATTGCATGAAATATCTTTCATAAAAGGTTATCTTGCTTTCCAAACACCAAATGATCTTTCTATTACACTCATGAGTGATGAATGTGTTTTGTTGAATTTTTTATGTGCAATTTGAGAAGGCCGATGGTCAAATTGAGCTAAATGATATGTCTCTCATTTGTACAGCACAAGATAACCCTTTGTGTTTGGATAGCCAGAATCAACCAAATAATACTCATCTACAAAGTAAAATATGAACTCATTACAAATCTAACTAATATAGAATAAATGAATAAATCTTAATTTGTGTTACATACATACCTCCTTCTGGATATGAAAAATTATTGTTTGCATTCCTAATTGTACCCCAAAAAATTCACGTGTCATGTGTACTTCCCTCCCAACCAGGCAAGCAAAAGGTGAAACACATGTCAAAGTCACACACTGCCAATATGTTTTGTGTAGCATATCCCTTCCTACCTATGAAACCGGGTAAGTATTCTGCTTCTACATGAGCTTTGATATGTGTTCCATCAATTGCCCCAATGCAATTCTACATACAAAAAATATTAGAAAATATTTTTTTTAAGAGAGAGAGAGAGAGAGTATTTGTAGTTACCTTAAAATGAGGGTAATATTTTCGGCTATTCTTTATGTACGAATGAACCCCATTTCTCTGCCAAGGCTTCACCCAATCCACGGACATTTTCACACATGCTTTTAAAACAAAGTGGAAGTATTTTGAAATAGTTTCACCCGATAATTGAAATCTTTCTTGAACATTTCTATTGTTTGCATGTTGACCAACAATATATAAAAAAATAACAACTTGTTGTTGAACCCCAACTTTTTTCCTACTTTGTAGTTCATAGTTAGTCTCTAATAATTTGCGCAATTGATAAAAAAAAATATCCCTGTCCATTCTAAAATTTTCATATATCCTTGTAGCATTACCATGTTGCAATTCTAACATCCATTGATGTCTTGTGAGGGCAGATGTCCTACATGGTTATTTATTTAGGTAATTTTTTGCATAAATTGTTCCTGCCACTGTGCCGCCATTAGGTAGGGATTCCCATACAGGTGATTTGGTTGTTGTGAAGATCCAGCGACATTGTCATCATTATCATAATCACCATCATCATTGAAATTGTCCATCTTTTTATACTGTATAAAAATTGGGGTCATGTACCACATTCATTCAATAAGAAATTAATTTAGCACATACAATAAATATAAAATTAGAGGATATAGATAAAATAAATTAATTTAACAATAACAAATTAATTTAACACACAAAATTAGAGAATATAGACACAAAATAAAATTAAACAAACATCAGCAGAATACCTGCAAAGATTGGAATGCCTCTTTGTTGTTTAACAATTCGGAATGGCAAACAAGTTCACCATCAGACTATATATAGACAGTGTCATTGCAATATTCATCATTTAAAATAATATCTTTTTAAAATTGCTTTCAAACACTTAATTAAAATAAAATTAAAAAAAAAAAACTGAAATCATGAAAACTACTATCAAATTTGAGATTCGTAAATAATACCTCCGATGTAAGTTATAGAGACCTATAGAAAAACCACGAGACTCAAAATTGATATTTGTAATTAAATATATTTCACTTGTTATGTGTGACTCATTCATACTAAGTATACATGAAAGAAACACTGTATTTAGAAAATAATAAACTATATATAAGAGATAAAAGAAGTTGAGTAAAATATTATCATCATCATATAAATAGGTAGTAGTCATGAATACAATATGATACATTTATTTAAGATTTTGAACCATTTTGGTGTATTGCTTGGGTCTGTTTAGGTGGCTTAGAACCTACTCTTGGTATAGTAGTAATATGTGGGTTCCCAACAAAAGGGAAAAAATTGATGAACTTTCCCATGAGCAATTATTCGTTGCCTGTTTTAACTTGAAATTCAAGTATAGTTTCTACAAACTAGTGTTGATGGATCAAATTTAAGGGCACATAGTCTATTCCTTCTCTATGATATATATTTTTGGGTTGCTATTTCTAATTTTTATATGCAAAAATGCTTTGTACCCAATTTACACCTCCCAAAACCCAATCCTATGTGGACTAAACAATGCAATCCAGACCTAAACAGATGCTGCAAATGCTGTGAAACAAGGCCAATGGTCTGTAATGGGCCCTAGAAGGGTAATAGAGAGAAGAACAGTCTCTAAAATAGCTATTTAAATTTAACATAGATTGCATTACTTTAGCTGCGCACCAACTTATGTAGACCTAATTTTAGGATACAATTGGTACATTGCATGTTTACTAAATCACCACTTTAACTAACATTCACTACAAAAAAATTGTTTTTTGCGACGGCGTTTTGCCGTCGCAAATACTCCAAACGCCGTCGCTAATAGTTTTTTGCGACGGGGATCAGTTTTTTGCGATGGCAGGTGGGGGGTTCCCGACGGTTCAACATTGCCGTCGCTAATAGTTCCTGATTTTCATACTCGCCCGTGCAGTTTATTACCGACGGTTAAACGCCGTCGCTAAAACTACTTTTTTGCGACGGTTTGTTTTGCCGTCGCAAAATACCATTTTTTGCGACGGGGATCGCGCCGTCGCTAATAATTCCGTCTTTTTTGCCCTCTTTTCTTGTAGTGATTGCATGTTTGATTCTAAGGCCAATGGTCTGTAATGTTTACTAATTCTAGGATACAACTGGTACATTGCATGTTTGATTCCACGGTTTATGTATCAAAGTCATAAAAGACTATTACTTAAGCACAAAATTCAAACAAAGACTCAGATAGATGGTCCAAAAACACAAATAATTTCAGATTTTGAATGTGCAGGAAAAATAGGCAGAAATTGGCTGCATTACTAAACTATTCT